CGTAGACACCAGAGATGTCAATCTCATTTTATATCGTGGGCCACATCCAGCCCACTATGATCTAAACTGAATCACACCATCAGTGTAAAAACGTTTAACTACACATTTACGGTGTTTAAATTAGTTTTTCTATGCCAAAGTTTTTCATCTTTACTAACTGAAAAGAAAGAAATCTATCAGCACAGTTCTCGGGGTTTACATTATAAATGTGTAAAGTTACAGAAACATTTTGGTAGCTTGCTGTCCCGTATTTATGAAATAAATCTTTTTATGTTAATTCATATAAAATGTTTTTTTTTCTTGTGGACCCATTTTAAATGAAAATATTGCAAATACATTTCAGAAACTGCTGACTTACTGGGATTTTTCCAAGCAGTCATCTTTAGGGCTTACAGAGAGCCCAATCCAAGAAAGAACCTTTGGAATGTAGTGGAACAGGAGATTTGAATCATGGATGGATGTGCAGCCAACTCATCTGCAGCAACTGTGTGATGTTATCATGTCAATATGGTCCACAATGTCACCTCTAAAGGAATGTTTCCAGCACCTTGCTGAATCTATGCCACAAGTAATTAATGCACCTCTAAAGGCAAAAGGGGGTCCAACCCTGTATCAGTAAGGTGTCCCTAATATAGTGTCCAGTGTGTGAACATTTGAAAGTATAGTTTCATCTCTAAAATGAATTAAACCTTCGCACATCCAGGAGTATATAACTTGTTTATAAAAGACACAAGTTCCACCTTTAACTAGACGTGGAGCTTATTTACACAGACACTACATTATTAAATGTTGGTATGTTGTTTTCAAGGGGTACAGCAATTCAAACAGGTTGAAATAAAAAGTCTAAATCTGCTTTGAAATTACACATATACATTATACTAGTAAAACCGCTTTTTTGAGAGTTGATAAAATTAATACCAAAGATAAGCAGTTCATCTCAATTCAGACTTTAATCCAGCCAAAATCTCTAAAACAATCCTTTTAAAAACTCCATCAAAAGGACAGAAAAGGGTGAAAAGTTTCCTTAGAATTGTAATTCATTTCATATTTTATTGAACATGGTTTAGGAAAAGTTTCCAGAACAAGCTCACACAAATATCTCAATAGCCAACATCAAAATCTGACCATTTAGTAATAAAATTCAGTCTGAATTCAGTCAGAGCTCAGATTTCTGGAGCTTTGGACAGTTGTAGACGGGGACAGTCAGAAAAAAGGGAGGAAAAACACACTAGCTGGAACAAAGTGATGAAACTGGTGGAAACCGACAGAAAAAAAAATCTAGAAACATAAAGATGAAATGACAGAACCACACAATTCAAACAAACACAGAAACAGAAATGTTACATGTAATAAAAACAACAGAGGACACAAATCTGTAAACCTATTCTATAAAGAAGTGTTTTTAAATGGCTCGCAGAGCCTCGATGAAGATGACGGTGGCAGAAAACAAATAAAGACTGAAACTGAAAGCTAACTTGGTTGCTAAAGAGCTACATGTTGTAACACGGTGCCCTCAATTCAGAAAATGAAACTATGTTCATATGGAGTAAACAATGATAATGAAACACAAAAAACCCCAAAACAAAACTTTAAAAGTGCATCACTCTTTTTATATTCTTCATCAACACAACTACTTATGATCACAGTTATTTCACTATTTGGTGTATTCACACAGAAATCATTTTCTAGCGCTGTTTTTGTCGTCTTCGTTCGTAGAGTTTATTTTAAGTACACTTTAATATGACATTGATTAAAACTTTCTATCACCTGTACAGTCCACCACCTTGAGACAAACAACAGCAAAGACCGAGACAAAAGTCGGTTTGTGCAGCTTTAGTGTTCTTGCTCAACGCTACCCCCGCATTTCAATTTGTGCCTCTTGTAGGAGCAGAGGCACTGTTATTGCTATTTTAAAAAACAAAACAAAAAAGAAAATCTAAACTCACAGCACACAAATATTTGTAATCAAGATTAAAGCTATGCTCGCTAAGTCTGAAGTTAACCACAAAGGCCAAACCACTCGCTTCAAATGCCCTCAGTTTGCAAATCCTCGAGTTAGCAGTAAACTCCACGCAGCTCCGTGACAACTCAGCGCGCAGATCTGCTGATTTAAATTTAGTCACAAACTCACGTGGATGGCCTCCACATCTACTGTGAAACCAGGAGTGAAACTTTTAAAGCTAAATTAGAAAAATACATCTGAAATTTATCAGCTTTGAGAAGGGGGGCAGTTTTCCCCAATGCAAATGTCACAAATGCAAATGTCATAGCTGTTGTTTCAATTCTTGAGCAAAGCCCCCCCAAAAAGAGCATTCTCTGAGGTTAAGTGACTGTGACCATTGACCACAGACACAGACAACCTAAAAATGCATCTGCAACAGTAACTGCCACTTCAGTAGTACTCTACTACTCCTGTAGTATGAAATGAACGATGTATGAAGCCATATTCAGGTTTTATATGCGGGACAGCACAGTTATAATAAATACTTCTGGATCTTTGCTGTGTATTTACAGGGCGTAGGAGGAGTATTAGAATGGGGGAAAATAAGACAGTTCAAACCATTTTTAAAAAGTCTTAGTATATAACTATATTATACCTCCATAGTTGTTGTTTCAGGGGTTGAAGCAGCACCACAAATCACTATAAATTCAAAGGCAAACTCTGCATTAGAGGCCGACTGATATATCGGCTATCTGCCGATTTGTCAGTATTGGCATTTAGAATGACCTATAAATGAGAATGAAATGCAGAACACAGAAACACAAGGAATATTCTGATTGTTGATGTTACGCTTTGTCCACTTCCCTGTTGGCTACACTGTGTTTGAAACACAACCAGCTGCTCTGAGCAGAGTCAGGCAGAGCGTAAACCAGTAGATAAATAAATACATGTAACAAATGTTAAGGAAATGTGTTTATGTGCCCAAAAAGAAAATTAAAAGGTCACTGTGTCAAATTTAGGCCAGTATATCAGTCTTAGAAATCCTATATCAGTCTGGCTCTGTGTCTCTGTATCGAATATACGTTCATTTATCTCCAAAATGCCAAAAGCTAAACTTGTGGCCTGAAAATGCTAATGTGGATATTACTGTGGGAATTATAAAAGGATGTGATTTAACTTTAACTTGCTGTGGTTTTGTGCTGAGGAGGCTTTGGAGTATTTGGAAAACAAACAGGAATGTTGCAGAAAAACATACATTAACCATGTTAGGTAGTACCTCAACCTATCAGAGCAAGCCTTTCATATCGAAAGGTACCATCTGGGTCAATAACCCTTCCAACAATAGCTCATCCAAAGAAACTGCAGAATGACATTTTCAGAAAGAGCTGCTGCAAACTGCAACCTGAAGGCTGGATCAGAAAACCCTGGACTGGGAAGAAGCTGTGGACCAAAACCAAGCTAAACTTCAGGGTTTGAGAGGCAGTGAGAGGAACACCAAACAGCTGCAGGGTGACTACAATGCCACACAGGCAATCGTGTGTACTTGAACGCGAAGTCCAGCTGACCTTGATCCTGCTGAACGGAGGGGCTGAAGGAGGTTGGTCAGATGACGGGCTAGGCTGATGTCAAACTGGATTTCCTAATTAATGTGATAGGAAAAAGGGGTCCCTCTAACGATCGTGTCATTTGTACACCTCAGTGGGGAAATTGTTCAGCTGTGCTCAGAACACGTCAGGGCACATATCCCAGTTCCCTTGCTCCTTAGCTTCCCAGTAACCCCCCTTGTAGATGTGCAACGTTTCTCCGGACACAGGATCATCTATCTTCTCAAACCACAATGCTTGGTAGGTGTCTGGATGGGCACCTATTGAAAAAGAAAAGAACGTTCCAATTTAGAAGCTAAAGTAAAGGTTAACCCCCCACTCAGCCAGGATTACATATCATGCTTAAATTAAGCTGATATGCATTCAGAGTTCTGCCCATGAGAAACAAATAAATGTTACCATTACCTTGATCTTCAGATGCATCTTATACAAACAAAATGCAGGGGCTCTTTCTGTATAATCACTTGGAGACGACCAGGCTCACAAATAACACATTAGCTGCTTCAGAGTCAGAGGATGCTGGTCAATCACAGACAAACTGCCACTCTACAATGTTATGAGGCCTCTACAGCTGTATACAGCTACTCTAAGAGGATCTAAGAGATGGGACAACAGTCTAAATGAATGTTACTTGCTTTTGGCTGGAGCTCCATAAGGGCCTTCCCTGCCTTCCACTAAGAGAGCAAATTGTAAAGAGGAAAATGGTGGAAGTTGGATGTTTTTCTGGTCATTAGGATTCAACTACATTACTAGAAAATGTGATATACTGGTGCTATGCATTAAATCATGATCAGAATACTTGCTTATATAAGGGAAGAGTGACGGTCCATAAGGGGCTATTAAAAAAAAAAAGAAAAACAAAAAAAGGATGACTCTTCTTTGGAAGTTGAGACACAACAGAACTGCTGTGATTTGAAAATGACAGTGAGTGAAAACGAAAGGGACTACTTGCATGCAACAGGTGTATGAGGGGGGGAATCCTCAGTGTCAGCTGAGCAAAACCCAGCACAAACATAAAGACACATCCAAAATCCACATAAAAAAAAAAAAGATTTCTTCAAATTTTAAAAGTGCCATGTGTCGCATCTAAGGCATTATTTTCTGCTCAAAAATTTAACAAAAGCCCAACAGACTAATTGTAACAAAGAAATAAGTTGATTTGTGTAATAAACTGATTGTGCTTTAAGAACTGATGAGTCATTTAGATTTGACCTGATTAGGTGGTTCTATAGAGGGTTAGATTATAGATCTTCTCTTTGCTGGTCTAAAATGTTAAAGAAAATGATATCCACACACACATGAGTTAACAATGAGTGAAAATCTCTTTACACTTATAGTTTTGTTCATTATAACCAGGAACTGAAAATCACTGGAACATCCAAAATGACACATACGAGCTGTGAAGTCACCGATAGCAGCTAACGCGCCCGGCAACCACCCCGTGGACATAAACGGTACTTGCTCAGTAAAAAAGCCACACAAAGCACCTTTAAAAGTACACTTTGTATAAAACTGTAAAATGATACTTGCTTTCATCAGAAATCTCACTTGAAGCAGGAGCAGGCTCTTTTGCATCAGCTAAATGAAACAGAAAGGAACAGGGGAGGGGGGGAGACATATAAATATAAATGAGCTGTTATTAAGAGAGGAGGATGCTGAGCACCTTAATACTGAACGCACAAACATTTCGTGTGTGCACTTTTGATTTTGCGGTCTGAAGTTCACACCAAAGGTGAGAAGAGACTAAGCTGAGTACTTGCTTTTCAAAGGCGAGTCATTGATCGAAGCCTCAGTGAGAGCTTAGCATTAAGAGAGGAGGGGGTGGAAAAGGAAAGACAAGAAACACCAAGACCGACAAAAATGGATAAAAGATGAATGGACACAACATCAGACAGAAATATAAGACAAATACAAACAAAACAAAACAAAAAAATCAAACCCATGCTAAACACAATCTCGCTCTCCGTCGTCCTACCTTCCTCAGGTGAGCTGGCTGCTTTCACAGCTTCTCTCTCTCTTTCTCGACGGGTGCTGCGTTGTTTTTCTTCTAGACGCTGTTTCTCTGCGTTGGCCTCGTCCCAGTGGCCTTCCTCCATTAACCGCTGGTCAGGTCGCCGCCGACTGTCTGTTGGCGCAACTCCCTCTTCGGGTTCATTGAGAGTCAAAGCCAAAGAGGAGAAGTAGTACATGTTCTCTGCTCCCTCCCTGCAAATTCAACAATATAAAAACATTAAAAGTAAAGAGCAGCAGTATTTACAACAGCTCCGCTCCAAATGTTTGAGAACACGTTCACACTTCTGAACATCGCCAGTCTTTAAGACTAAAAACACTTACGGTAACGGATTCTTTCTCCAGATTTCTTTGGCTTTGAGTGTCTGATAGACAGTCCTCTGTTTGCCTTCAGTGCCATTTTCACCTTTACTGCTCTGCATAATTTTGGAAAACTCCATTTTCTCATCCCACGTTCCTGACAGGACATAATGCGCTTTTCCATCCTTATCTGTTACTACTCCTGTTACCTAGGAGGAGACATTAATTAATTAATTAATTAATTAATTAAGATATAGATTAATTGCAGGCTGTAGAGGAGAGAAAATAATAAAACCATTGCCATTAAAGGCTTCCTATAAGTTTCCTGGGAAAATGATGGCTCATATGCAGAAGGAAAGATGAGGATGACTCAACAGAATCAACTTATGTACTAGTGGATGTAATATCATCATCTTGAAAGGAAAATACTGCCTGAGGAAACCTCACTCAAATGATCTTATTTAAACAAACACAAAAAAAGAAAAAGAAAAAAAAAGGAGCCCACCTTTCTCGGTACATCTCTGGAAAAATAACTGTAGGGAGCGAACTTGAGGTGGCAGCGATCTCCTGTCTTGTGGTTCACCACGTCTATCTCTCCCGACTGGCACAGGACAAAATAAAGAACGAAAATGTTCTGAGTGTTTTGTACTCTAGCAGATTGAAATCAAAACATCATATGAAAACATCTAATGTTTTCATAATGTTTAAGCTAAAACATTTTGGCATTACCTGATCGATCCACAATTTCCCAACAATAATGTTGTGAACTGTTGTGGTCACTTTTTTCCAAGAATAGTGATTGTTGCTCTTTTCAAATATACACTGAATAGAACCTGGAGAGAGAAAAGGGAATAATGTTGCAAGTGATGGAAACGTATCCCATATATCCCACGAACTAAAGTGAAAAAATGAAATTCTACACTGAAATAGTGAATTACAGTAGTGTAAGACAGACAGTGTTCACTGGATAAAAACATGTCACCTCAGGCTTAGCAGGTGTATTTTTCTCGCATGCCGTGTCTTTGTTTGCAGCTATACAAACACGCACTCACCCAAAGGCATGATAGAGAGATATTTCCCTCTAAACTTGCTGGCTAGTGTTATCTCCTGTCTGAGGGTCCAGCCCTTTTCAGAGAAGGCGTGGTGGGCTGCGGCAGGTGGGTGGTGACTGACCTAAGAAGAGGTAACAAAGAGAGAGAAGAGTCAGGAAGCTTAACATATGGTCACTGTAATTATATAATGGCTTTGAGTGCATTAAGAAAACAAACATGACTTGGACAAAATACTACATGAGTAAATAAAGCATGTTTGCAATGGAAACAGGTAAAACCTGAATCAAAACGATTATAATTTGTGAAAAAACAATGCAATGTAGACCATTTCTGTGTTTTACAATGGTTTTTTTTGTTTGTTTTTTTTTAAACTACCTGTTCACAAAGAGAGCGATAACCACACTCTCTGTGCCGATCGAGCTCAAAGGTTTCTCCGAGCAGAGGGTTGAAGGGCTTTCCTGTGCGGTGGACTGTGGTGGAGTAGGAAGACACTGTGAAGGCTGCCACATAACACATCTGCTCTAGAGAGCTATGAGACTTTGCAGCCTTATCAAGGAGTTCGTAGTACTCCAGGTCTTCAGACAGACGTTGCAACATTGACAGGGGCTCATTAAAATTCACCTAAAAATTCACAGAGAGACATCTCATCACTTCTGATTATTTTTAAATGGAAAAGTCACATTGACGCTGTCGTGTGCACAGATTTCTTACAGGCATTGGTATTTTTGAGAGCTCCTTTCCAATACAATTCTTCATGATGCTCCACAGATTGAGGTAATAGTTTGGTTTGTCCGGGATACGAGTTCGCCTTTGCCTAACTGGCTCCAGCTCCAGCGGCTGTGGAGACTCTGGGTTTGATGCCAAAGAAAGTTCATCAAACTGATGGAAGATAAAGAAAATATCGTCAGGAGTTAGGTGGCTTTGATATGGTAATGCAGTTAATACAAAAATAATTAGATATAAAAATTTAACGCACATTTACCGACTGATCATCCGTTCCAGTCTCACTGCTGATCCCACTGATGTTGCTGCCAGATCTCCTGTAGAAGAGGATAAGAGTCAAGTATAAAACAAAACACGTGTGGAGGGAAAAAAAAGTCTGACAATAGAAAATATCAGTTTGTACCTGTGATATTTGGGGTCAGCGGGGACAGTAATAAACTCTGCTGGCTCCTCCATAGCATCAAAGAACTCATTGTCATCATCCTCGTCACTGGCATCGGCTTTCCCTGAAACACCCCCTGAAATGAAGAAAGAGTTGGAAGACTGAATAACTTAACGGTTCAACAGACCTCAGCAGATCAGTAACGAAGGTGGCAGAGTAAGAATTTCTCTGCAATGAAAAGACTCTCACCTTTGTTTCCTAAGGCAGGATTACTGAATGAAGGGGGGAGAACTGTTGCTCCTCTGAAAGCTCTTTCTAGGTGGTTGTGCTGTTTGGCTAGCTGCTCCAGAGTCTCCTCCAGACGTATCCTCTGTTCTCTTTCAGTCTGTAAGGCCTTCTGCCAGCGCTTACTGTGGCTCTGAGCCATGGAAAGGAAGTCTCTACATGCCTAGAGGATCACGCAAAAAAATAGACATTATCAGTAACACAATCGGGGGGAGAGCTGTTTGCTCAACTTTTATTAACGCTTGATTGACTTACGTTGATCATGGCATTGGATGTGATTCGGAACAGCGTGGCTCTCTCTGTGACTTGTTTGACCTTTTCTCCCATGTCCACTGCGACACGAAGTCCTTCAAGTTCTGATAAAGACCTAAAATTGTGAAATAAAGATTTTAATTGGTAAGAGTAATTTAAAAAAGAAGAAGATTAGTTAATGGATAATAGTCTGTTAGTAAGTACTACCGTTGGAGAGCAGACCCATGCTTGACAATGAGATCATTGCAGGTGGCAAGATCCTCCACTTTACTGTTAAGTGTGCGTAATGTAGACTGGATTTCTGTGTTACGGCACTCTCCACCCTGTCCTGAGTTTGGCGAGACTGCAGGGAAATCATCACCTGAGTCATCTGAGGAAGAAAACAGAGAGTGTCATTAGTCAACACAAACACAATAAGATTCGGTGAAAGAGTTTGCTTCTGGGTGCTTTGTAAGCTTTCTCTATGGAGTCCCCTGCATTGTCCTCTGGTAAGAGTCCCTCTTACCAGATTCCGCCTGCATTTGGACAGCCTTCGCCTTTGCAAGTTCCAAAGCAGTGATCCATCGCTGGCGCTCTACTTCGGAGCTGGCCTTCAGGTGATAGGTCTGTGCCCCTCCATTAGAAATCACAAAATTGCACGAATCTTCCACAGCAATATTGGCTGTGGCCAAGTTAATGGTGCCTCTGCATGTGTGACCCATCTCAGCCTGAGTCCTGAAGACAGAGACAACAACAGCAGTCAAATCTGCAGTTTGCAAATCACTTACATTTATAGATGTGCACTGCTCAGATGGCTTTGTGGTGTTATTGTGGTTCTGTTGCTGTCCTGTAAAAAGGCCTTTATTACAAGGCATACTTATAATAAAATTTTAATGCATGGATCCTCTTTAAGCTACACTTTTGCTATTTCTTTTTGAGCTTGAAATAGAGTAAATTCATTACAAATTATTATAGCTTCAGTATTCTCCATATAACTTACCTGTAGTAAGAGAGCAAGCCATTGCTGAGAACAAACCAGCGTCTTTGGTAACCTTTTATGTAGTTTGTCCATTTGAAGAGCCAACCCTTGTATGTGTCTCCAGGGGTCGGAGTAGGGGACTTTGGCTCTGACATCACAACAGCCTGTGCTTTCACTGAGTGATGTTACAGGCTGTGGAGAGAAAAACATTTACAGGTGCATTACTGTAAAGTTTGTATCATGCACATCACATTTGATACATGATGTGCATGATACAAGCTCACTATAAAGACATCACACTTACAGTATATCAAGACACATTGTAACTACATCCTTAAGTTTTATAACATCTTATAACCATATAATTCATCAATCTTTGGCTATATAAGACACAATGCGTTATGGGTAACGGAAGCAGTTCAACCTGCGCCACTAAGATCGGCTGCAATCACTTATGTTTATGTTTACCGAGTCATCAAAATTAAACCTACATAGCCACGCTCGTCAAAGGTAAAAAAATATGACTCAACACTGGCACTAGCTCTGGCTACGTGAAACTTTTAGGCTTGTCGTGGCACCTTCCAGTGAAAACAAAACGAGCTGAGGGACGCTGACACGACTCCAATAACCTGCTTCACTACAGTTTTATCGCGTTTGAAGGAAACTAATAAACATCCAGAAAACACAGCTCAGCGCCGATAACAGTGAGCTCAACCGTTCCCTTGGTCTGGTAGGATTACATGGAAGTGTCAAATTAACAGCATGGACACTGATAGTCAACTTACCCCGAATACCACATCAAAGCTACTTAAAACTGTGCCCGCTGTCACTAAGCTTGCGGTTAGCTAAACAACAGGAAGCTTTGGAAAAGCTGACACGCCGCAGACGTTGACAATTATCGTTTTAAACCGTGCAGCCCTCTCACTATGCATCCATCCGATGCATAACTTAATGTAATATAGCTGCAAGACTCACCGATGGGCGGGCATATCGAGCTTGATGATGCGACGTTAGCTCGCTAGTTTTTGCTTCGCTAACCACTTTGCTACAGGTTGTGCAACAAAATAGGGTTCGACCAGCATCTAAACCGTGCGCTTTAGTTCCGCCAGTCAATCTAAACGCCTCTCGGCAGTTGATGTAAATGGTTGTACCCTGTGAAGATCCAGATATTCTTTTCTTTTTTTCAGTGTAATACAATCCATCAAGCCTTTATTTGTCACATGCAATGTTACACATACACGTTACCTGCAGTGAAAACGAGCACAGTAGAGTACAGTACTACAGTACCTTTTGAAATGACGACCTATTAACTATATTTACATTTTGAATCTTCAAAACGATTTTATTTCGACAATTTAACTTTACTTGTGATTTTTTTTATTCACAAATACAAATGGAAATTTTTCAAAGTTAATTGCGATCTAAATTGATGGAAAAACGACTCAAAGTTATTTGGTTAGACTCTATAGTTGAAAATTAACCAGCCCATAAATTATCTTCACTACTTAATAACTTAAAAAAAAAAACAAAAAAAAAAAAAAAACGGTTTGCTGACGTTTTTGATCATGAGAAAAAACTTTATTTATCCCTTATTTGAAAAATAATTTTATCACGTAATGCAAAAAATAATTACTATTATACTATAATTATCGTAGTGTATGAATGTCTGCATCTATGTATACTATCTTTGCTATTGTAGAATTCTCCCATACGTTTCAGTTCAGGGGTCTTTGTCTGTCTAATAATGTCTGTGATTCTGCAGAGGAGCTGGAGAACCAAAAAGAAGAAGACAAAAAAGAAAAAAGAAGCAGGCTATATCAGTGTAAAGAAAACATGCTTAATGTCCATACTCATTCTCATACTAATTTAAAGAAGGTATGGATATTTATAAATACCTTTACATCTGAATCAACTGGCTATGCCCCATTAGTATTGTTCTGGTTTACAGTGTAAATAAATATGAATGGTATTATGCATGTAAAAATAAGTTCATTTATCTGCTTTTCCTTTAAAAAAAAAATCCAAACTACATTGGTGTATGTATAGCATGACTTTCAGCCCAGTTTATAAGTGAACTTACAGATTATGTATTAACGTATAACTAAGAGTTTAGTCCTCCAGGTTGGAGCCTTTTTTGCATTCAGAACTACTTTAATTCTTTGTAGCATAGATTGAGCAAAGTGCTTAAAACATTCCTCAGAGTTTGGTCCATATTGACATGACAGCATCTTCATTGCTGCAGATTTGCCAGCTGCACATCCACTTTGTGAATCTCCTACTACACCACTATTCCAAAGATGTGGTCTTGCATCTAGATCACAGTAGATCAGCAGTTTCTGAAGTACTCATGCCAGCCCGTCTTGTACCAACACCAGTGCCACATTTGGCCACTGACATCACCCTTCATCCTTATTCTGGTGCTCATTTTCAAATTCAGGAAGTCATCTTAAGTATGTCTACACCATCTGATTGGTTTATTAGACATTTTTTTTTATTAACAAGCATTTGAAAAGAAGTGGCCAGTGAGTTTATATTGTTATATTTTGGGAAAATAGTCAATGTGTGCTCCCATAATGCATTCTTATGGTTGCATTAATTCCTGTCATGTAGTTTCCATTAAAATATTGAAATTAAATGCACCTGCTATATTTGCCAGGGCACAATTACAGACCCTACTCAAACAGCTTTCATGAAACTAAAAGGCATTTTAAACACACAGTGCTCAATTCAGTATATCCAGGTTCTTATATAGCACTAGTTCACAGCTACAGTAGTCTTTTTTGTGGTAAGGTAAATAATCTACAATATTAGAGAAATAATTTTGTTGTTTTTATGACTTAACATAGCTGTGATCTGAATTAATCATGTAAATTCCAAACACAGGGAAAACCAAACACTTCCTCTGAATTGTACTGATTTTATTGAACAATTCTTCAACACAACAATGCAGCTTCTATAAACTAGGACATTAAATCGTAGACATTAATTAAAAGATGTGTATGTGTGTGGTGTATTTTATCTATGCACTTGAATGTTTCTACGTTAATTATCCACAATTATAATACACTTCTCCTCCCATTCTTATTTAGTAATGGTGTTTGCATTCATACTCTTTCCACTCCCACTAAGCACAATATATGGTGTTTTCTGGGATTTTTGCTTCTCCTGCAGTAAAGCCACAGTTCCCAGAGGGGTATCGCTGCTGCTCATCTTCTTCAGCAACGCCTCTACCTCCAGCTTTTTCCATCCTCCTCTCGGTCTTCATTTTTCCAGACCCCTTTCCGTTGAATTGATGGGAGAGCTGCCTAAAAGCTTCTTTTGGAGTGAGTTTCCGCCCAGACTCGTCCACGTACTCAATCTTGACGTCAGGCTTGTAGCCATCCTTCTCCTTGAAGTCTTGTGTGAAGCCTCTGTATTCTTCCCTGCGGCTGTACTTGTCATCAAAGCCCATCTTGTCCTCAATGCAATAGTCACCATTGGGCAGGGCACCCTTTGGCGCTTTGACACGTGCTACTTTCTGCATTTGAGTCTCCAACAGACCCTTATTTTTGCACAGCAACAGGGCAGCAGCGAGGCCGGAGTTGACGATGGGCTCCTCGTCCAAAATGGTGGCAGAGGCTGTGGCGAAATCTGGTTGTTTTTGTTCCTCATCCAGGTTAACTGTGCTCCATCCAACATTCTCATCCATATCAGAGTCTGAACCTCCAGCATCATCTTTTTCCTCCTCCTGTTCAAAGTCCATAATGTCTTCCTGGTCCTCTCTGTTGCCTGACAGTCCGTATGTTGGGATATCACCCAGGGTTCTGCAAAACTCTGAGGTAGCATTGAAAACAATGTTGTTCCTCTTGTCAGGATCGTCTTCATTGTCATCTTTAACAAGCTTCTTAACCTGCTCTGCCACCTTTGCCCCAGAGTCTTTCAGGAGCTGCATTTGCTTCAGCTTCCTCTGCTTCTCCAACTGCTTCTGGAGCTCCTGCTCTGCCTCATCCTCCTCAATTACAGCTGGCTCAGGAGGGGTAAATTCCTCATCATCACTTATGTCCATTTCTGCCATCCTGATGTCGTCAGACAGCAGGGGGATTTCATGCGTCACCCCCTTCTCCTCTTTCTTTACTTCTTGGTCTTCATCATCCTCCTGTTTGCGGCCTCGGCCACGTGTCCTGGAGCCAAAGTCAGAGCTGCGGGTGTCATCGAGGTGAAGGTCATCTGCAATGGATGTCTTCTCCTTCTTCCTGATCTTCTTCACTCTACGTTTTGTCTTTTTAAAGCCCACCATTTCCTGTGGTGTGTAGTACTCCGAGGCGATAGAGAGCGCAGGCATTTCCAAGGACTGGGCCTGATTTCGCAGCATTTCTTTCATGGCCTGGAGCTCGCGCTCTCGCTCTCCATCTGCAAAACCACCTGTATTCAACCGGAAGCTCTTTTTCTTCTCACCTTCAATTTCCTCATCATACTTTGACAGAACAGAGCGAGATTTAAACGAAACCATGTCGTCAACGCTCTCCTCTTCTTCGTAAGGTTTGTAATCTGGCTTTTTCTTTTTTAATTCCACATTCTTTTCTGCTTTTTCCTTGTCCACCAGTCCCACATTTACCAGCACATCTTCCTCCTCTTCCAAAACACCTTTGTCTTCTAGGGTCAGGATGACAGTCTGGCCCTCAGAGAAAGACTCTACTTTGTGCTGCACTTTGAGTCCCTTTAAATCTCGAGATGTGTACGCATCCTGTTTAATCTGGGCAAATTCCTCCTCTACCAGATTGCTGACACCAAACTCTTCATCCATCTCTTCCAGAAGTTTGGCTCTTTTCTCAGCCATTTCTTTTTCTTTTGCCAGCTTTCGGCTTCTCTCGACCCAGGAGGATGTATCATCCAGCCAGTCATCCTCAGCTAGGGTTTTCACTTTCCCCAGTTTCTGGTTGAGTATGCGTTTTTCCTTCAAAGCTGCAAGCTTCTCTCTCATCTCTTTCTGCTGCTGGATGACCACGGGGTTGATGGTCTCTGCAACCATGGGTTCCTCTTTGGTCCCAAGCTCCTTCTTGTTCTCATTCAGTTCCAGAGGCTTCAGACCCAACTTTGCCCTGAGTTTGTTTGTTTCCTCGATGCTGAGAGATGCATCTCCGCTCGCAGATTGAGGCTGCACTTCAGTATTGCTTTCCTCATATCCCGCATCTACTTTCTCCTTCTTCACTCGTGGTTCCCCGCTGCTCCTTTCACCCTTCCCACGGCTCTCCCGTCTGCCTCTTTCCCTGGACCTGGAGCGCTTTCTTTTCTCCTTGTCTCGGTCCGAAGTGTCTCTGTCGCGCTCCTTGTGGCGATGTTTCTTATGTTCACGACGGCGCTCCTCTGTGTCCTTATCGCGGCTCTTTTCCTTATGTTTCTTAGACGAACCCATCGTTTATCTGCAAATTACAACAACAATTAAAAATGCAAGCACTGAAAAATAAAACCGCTAGCTATGACAATTTTAAGATTTGATTGATGACGGGAAAGCGTTTAGCTTTCCCGTGCTAACTAGCTTACATTAGCTACGAAAACTAAGTCATTAACCGAAGCCACAACTTACGTAGTTCGAAGACAAAGATTGAAATTTGCGTTCAAAATCCAATCTCGTTAAGGGACTAGAATGGTCGGCTGTATGTTTTTTCCAGGCCAGTGTAAATAACCTCACACCACGTTCGTGTAAGTTTAAGAACAAAAAAAACAGCGACAGTGTTGCTGTTTCCTGAAAACGCACTTCCTGCAATCGACCATTAGCCAGAGGCTGATGTCGCCGCCTGCCGTGCGGGAGTGTATATGTCACGCTCCATTACTTGGTGCGTCTCGGAAACGTGAAACGTTGCTAATAGTTAAATGGATTTCACCGGACGAAGAGAGAATCTGTGAAGCTCTTTCTGGCGTATATGAAGAGCAACGACGGGCAACAACATCTCTGTCCGTTTCTGGCTCTGAACGGTGACACCACCGTTTCTTATCTTGGAACGTAAGCTAGCTACCTTAGCAAGTGCAGTCCTAACAAAATGACCAAAAGCCATCACTTAACATGATACGTTTTGGTACAGCTACGT